AGGAGGAGGCGGAGGAGGAGGAGGCGGAGGAGGAGGCGGAGGAGGAGGAGGAGGAGGAGGAGAAGGAGGAGGCAGAGGAGGAGGAGGGTGAGGAGGAGGATGAGGATGAGGAAGAGTAGGATGAGGAGGAAGACGAGGAGGACGAGGATGAGGAGGAGGAATACTACTGTTAATCATAACATTAAGAAGCAGAAACATACTAATACGCAGGACAATAATAAAACTACTTATAATAATGATACGATGTCTAAACATAGAAATGCGAGGACTGAGGCCAACAATAATAATAGTACTAGGTACTACTAAGAAGAAGAACACTACTACTATAAAGAAACAATACGAATAATATGACGAATGATACTAATACGAATAATAAGCATATTACTAATACACGCAACACTAATAATACCGACAGCGTAATACGAAGGTTACGAATTATAATAAAAAGAAGACGAATACTACGCAGACGAAGACGAGTTATACTAAGCCATACAAAACGGATAATAACAATAAGAAGAGGAGGATGAGGATGAGCAGGAGGATGAGGAGGAGGGGGAAGCGGAGGATGAGGAGGATGCGGCGGATGAGGATGCGGAGGCGAAGGAGGCGGCGGCGGAGGAGGAGGCGGAGGCGGACGCGGAGGCGGAGGCGGATGTGGAGGCGGAGGCGGGGGAGGAGGAGGAGGAGGAGGAGGAGGAGGAGGAGGAGGAGGAGGAGGAGGAGTAATACTATGAACACGAAAGCGAATACTAAGAATAAGGTGGCGAACGCGCATATTAGTAATCATATGAATGCGCATACTGAGGATACTCATAGTACTAATACCATTAACGATACGAATACGGAGAATACTGCTACAAATAAGAATACTACGAATAACAGCATGGTTAAACCATTCACACTACCAGTGTTAGACATGATCATACCAATAACAATAAGAGTGCTACTACTAATGCGGATACGTATAAGCAGTAGCATAACCATAAGCATAATAAGCAACATAATACGACTTTTGAAAATAACCACAAGACGAAGCATACTAGTAAGGTGCATCAGTATTAATACTACTAAGAATGTACGAATACGAATAGTACGGGTACTACTAAGACCACTGCTGTTAATATTACGGGTAACGATGCAACGGATATTTTACTTACTAATAATACGAAGGGTACTGCTATTATTCATGCACATAGGAATCGTATTATGAATACTAAGAATAAGAAGAGTACCCATACGAATAGTAATAGTAATACTAAGACTAATAAGAATCAAACGAATGATACACGTGTTAGTAATACTAATACCATTCGTATTCGGAAGAGTACGCATACTCATACGGGTAATACTACTCATGCTACTAATCATAATAACACCAGTAATGCAAATAGTAACAACAGTATGCTTACACATAAAGAGACAACTAATATTAATACTACTACTGATACTATTAAACGTTGTAATACCAACAACATTTCATCCATCATACTGCCAGTAGTGACATTTATACTAATACTAGTTATTATCGTTGCCACTATTATTTTTTAAAACATATTATACGGACAGTATGGTGAAGAGGAATGCTATTCCTAATAATGTTATGCTTATTCTTCGGACTAATAATTATACTAGTACCAATGGCATTACTATTAATAGTACTATTAACGACACTACTATCAATGGTACTACTAATGATAATGATATGATAATACTAGTAATACCAATGGTACTATTACGAAGACGAATACTACTACGACTGGGGATCATACTAATACGAGGACTAAGAATACTAATACGAAGAATACTCATACGACGAATCCGACTACTAAGAATAATAATACTACTAAGAAGAAACATGCGAATAATACGAAGACGAATACGACTACCAATGCGAATAAGAATAATATGAGGAGGAGGAGGAGGAGGAGGAGGAGGAGAGGAGGGAGGAGGTAGGAGGAGGAGGAGGAATGAGGAAGGGGGAGGAGGAGGAGGGAGGAAGAGGAGTAGGAGGAGGAGGAGGTAGGAGGGAGGAGGAGGAGGAGGAGGAGGAGGAGGAGGAGGAGGAGGAGGAGGAGGAGGAGGAGGGGAGGAGGAGGGGGAGGAGGCGGAGGAGGAGGAGGGGAGGAGAGGAGGGAGGCGGAGGCGGAGGAGGAGGAGGCGGAGGAGGAGGAGGAGGAGGCGGAGGAGGAGGAGGCGGATGAGGAGGAGGAGGAGGAGGAGGAGGAGGAGGAGGAGGCACTTGTCTGGGCCCCCCCGCCGCCCCTCCGCCTCAGCTCGGCCCTCGCCGCCCGCCTGCGCCCACTCGCTGGCGCCTCGCGTCCAGCCGCCGCGCCCCGCGCCCACTCGGCGGCGCCCCCGGCCGCCCCGCCTGTCTGGGCAGCCCCAGGAGGCGTCTTCGCCCGGCTTCGGGCCCCCGGGTCCATCACTCTAGGCCTCCTAGACTCCGAGGGCGGCAAAGAGGGGGGGATGACCAGGGGGGGGGTGGACATCATGGCGTGGGCCACGAGATCTCCCCAGGTTTCACGGCGCCGCTTCTTACTTCATGACGTCCTGGCCCCCCCCTGGGGCCGCGCACGTGCCGCCGGCCATTTTTTTGCGCACCCCCTCCTCTTGGACGCCACCCTCTTGGCCGCCCCTGATAGATGGGGTCGAAGTAGATGGGGTCGGAGTAGATGGGGTCGGAGGATCGCGCCGAATCGCCGATGCATCGACGATGCGGCTCGATGTGGAGCCCGTGTTTCCCGACGCCGACGTCGCCGATGCATCTCCGACGTTGCCGATGCATCGCCGATGCATCGCCGATGCATCGCCGATACATCGGCGATGCATTGGCGATGCGGCGCGATCCTCCGACCCCATCTACTCGGACCCCATCTAGGAGGCCTCTAATCGCAGATCGATCGAGTTGTGCCGCGGCTTTTCCACCACAGCCGCTCTGCAACTTCTTGCCGACGGGCGTCTCTGTCCGGCTTCGGGCCCTGGAGCCAGCGCAGATCGGTCGAGCTGTGCCGCGGCTCTTCCGCTGCAGCCGCGGGTCGCCATTGGCCAGGCCCCACGCAGGCAGTGCTGGAGGCGCAAGACTCAGGAGGGGAAAAAGCACACAGACACAATCAATCGTCGACTCCCAGGAAAATATGGGAAAATGTGGGAAGGGGGGGGGAAGACGAAAACCCAGAACATATGTGAATATATGGGGAATCCGGTTATTTGTGCCTATTTATTTATGTGTCCCAGGGCCCCTTCAAAGACCCGCCTCTGGACCCCCCGCTGCCCGCGCGGTGGCGGCAGTGGAGCGCGGCGCGCTCTCCTCTACCCTGTACCGGTCGAGCCCCGTCCGAAAGATGCCGCAGGAAGGATGCTGAGGAGGAAGGAGGAGGAGGAGGAGGAGGAGGAGAAGTGAGGGGGAGGAGCGGGAGGAGGAGGAGGACGGAGGAGGAGGAGGAGGAGGAGGAGGAGGAAGCGATGCTGGAGAGAGATGGAGAGGAGGAGGAGGGAGGAAGGAGGACGGAGGAGGAGGAGGAGGGAGGAGGAAGGAGGGGGAGGAGGGGCCCACCGGTCGTCGCTTGGTGCAGTGCTGCAGCTCTTCCGCAGCGTCGGACGTTAGGGGCCGCCGAGGAGGGGCCCTCGGCAGTCGGCCTCCTCGGCCCTCGCGGGCCCTCGGCGCTCCCCCGCTCGGGGGGCCCCACGCTTCTTCGCCGCGGCAGAGGCTGCGACGGGCATGTTGTTGGGCAGCTTTTCGGCCACTGCCCTCGCCGGGCCACGAGGTACGAGGCGAGAAGGAGGGGGAGGAAGGGTACCTGGAGCGAGCGGTGCTCTCTCTCTCTCTCTCCCTCTTTCTTTTATGTGTGTATATATATATATGTACATATATATATATATACAACTGTTCAAAACGAGAGGCCGACACAGGTGGGTCGGGGAAAAAACGCGATGGGAAACGTTTGGCAACTTTTCGACCTCCAGGGGCCCTCACCAGGCCTCGGGGCCGTCAAGAAGGGACTCGGGATGAAAAGCGTGTCCCGGGGAGAAGGGTCTAGATCTCTGGGCGTCGACGCTGTGACAGAGGTCATTCGGAGATATGGGATCGGAGGGTGCGCCATACCCTCGGTCACCTAAACTGACGCATCGTGCCCCGCGATGCGCGACTCGCGATGATCCATGGACCTTCTGGGCGGTTTTCGGCCTCCAGGGGCCCTCGCCAGGCCCCGGGGTTTGTTTGGGAATCGCGCTGTCGCTCGAGACTTCCTCGCGATTCATGCAGGACGCAC